TGATTCCTAGCAGGTCAGTGGTCCCCGGGGTGACAGGCGATCCCTGCTCTTCGTATTGTAGGACTGCTGGAATTGCTGTCCCCTGTGGGACTCTGCCTTTTGGTGATGCATCCAGAGGCCTTGTGCTTACCATGCTGTAGATAAAAATATGGAGGCCTGGACTAGGAAAGAACTTAATGGAGCATAGCTGGGAAGAGAACACAGAAAGGCTGGGCCTATCAGGGCAGAGGAACTGGTAAAGCGTTCAGCCTGACGATGGTCCACACGGGAGCTGGGAGCTGCTTTTCACCGACGCCAGGCTCATGAGGGCAGAATGGCTGGTCATGGCCAGCCACATCACATATGTCATTTCAGAAATGTGATCAACCTGACTTCCTGCCAGAGCTTTGAAGCAAATCCCAAAAGGGGCCAGAGGGCCTTTTTGTTTTCCATTTTTGATTCTGTGGTAGGCTGATTCTCTCTCTTTTTTTTTTTTGAGAGAGAGAGAGACTTAATTTACTCAGTCTTTTCAATCAAAGAAATTGATACATTACAGGACCGGTGGTGGTTGTAGCAACAGCAGGGAAAGTAATTAAAGAGTCTAATTTTTCTTTCTTTCCAAAAGCACCGTCCCTAAATTGGATGGGTCCCCATGGACTTGAAAGCAGAAAAAGTTTTAATAGAATTTTTACTTAAGGTCTGACAATGGCTTTGTTGTGCCCTGATGTTGGAGTGTTGGGAGAAATCTCTCCTTTCCAGGAGTCAATGTTCCAGACATTGGAGGACTGGATGGATAAAGGATTGTATTCAGTTATTAGAGCTGTCATAACAAAGTATTACAAACTGGGTGGCTTGGCTTAAAACAGCAGAAATTTATCCTCTCACAGTTCCAAGGCCAGAAGTCCAAAATCAAGGCATTGGCAGCGCCATGCTCTCCCTGACGTCTCTAGGGAGAATCGGTCCCAAGCCTTCCTCCTAGCTTTCGGTGGTTGCCAGCTATCCTTGGCATTCCCTGGCTTGTAGACGCATCACTGATCTCTGCTTTTCATTACATGCATTCATTCTGTGTGTCTGGGTCTGGGTCTCTGTTTTCTCTTCTCCTAAGGATACCAGCTACATTGTATCAGGATCTGCTCTACACCAGCACAGACTTGACTGTATCTGCAAAAATCCTATTTCCAAATAAGGTCACAGTCACAAGCACTAGGGGTTAAGGTTTAATATATCTTTTTGAGGAACATAATTCAACTTACAACAGAGACCACAGCCTACAGTGAAGAAGACAAGACTGTCCACATTGCCTGGGGGGCCTACACTCATGTTTAGGATGAGGTAAATTACCTGGTCTGCCTGGGACAGGCTCAATTTACAAATATCAAGTCTTGGTCCCACGTCTGCCCAGGTCTTGGGTATCAGACTGGTCATTCAGCCCAAACACCAGGCTGACCAGGAAATGAGAGCCCTCCCCATGGAGTGGGGGACTTCATCTTTTAATTAACTTTGTGATGTGGTAGAGACTCAACTTGGAATCAGAAAATCTGGGTTCAGTTTTTTCTAACTGCTAGCCTACTTTATAACTTGGGAACATTTTAATAAACTTCACTGGCCCTCCATTTACATTTCTATAAAATAGGAAATAAAATAATTTCCACCCACCACAATTTTATAACAAGCTTAAGTGAGAAAAAGGCACATGAAAGAGTTTTACCAAGTATCAAACTCTTTTTTTTTTTTTAAATAATGAAAATTCTCTTCCTCCTCCTCATTTGGGGCAGAGCTTTGGTTATTCTGTTCTAAATGTTGGTGTGATTCTTCCCAAATCCAGAGTGGGCAAACAAACATGAATTAAAGATACCATCTGTCTCTGTGGCTCTAGAACTCAAGGTGATCAAAACCCCCAGCAGCTTTAATCTCTTAGTACCGGAGCTACTGGATGGAACATATTGTTATCTGGGTAGATAGCTAGAGCCCAATCCTTTAGTCAAACCTATAAATAAGTCTTAAGGCATCAGAGCTGATGATAAAATGGGGAAAAAAAATGTCTTTAGATGTCCCCCCTTCTTCAAAGCCTTGGGGAAGGTGTGTCAGCTCTTTGCTTATTGATGATTAAATTAGCAGGCTCCTGTCCTTCAAGACAAGAGGCAAAAAAGAGCTAGAATCTGATACCAAATGCCACTGAAGAAAATATATTTTACACAACATAAAAGGCCGCAACGTAAATTAGAAGAAATATGGGGAGACTTCAAAAAGGTAGGTCAAACTTTTTCCTCAAGCAGATAATTACAGGCTGGGGGTGAGTAAATCTTATTAGCCTCTCTCCACCTTGTCTCTTCTCATAAAACACTGGTGAAGAGAAAGCCATACTCAATTCAGTCCTGGACAGCTCACCCAAGAGGGCTGGCTGCCCACTGTCTGTCAGGATGCCTGTGGTAGGGGTGGATGTCTTCTCTCCTCTGAACATCCCCTCCCGCCTCCTTCCCAGGACACAGGTGAAGACAGCCGGCCAGGCAAGAAGCTCCAACACTCAAGTGCCCAAAGTGACTTGCTGAGACTTGGTTACTTTTCCCTGTCTGAAAAACTACCCCTTCAGGCTGCAATATTATAGTCAAATTTCTCTGCCTGAATTTGAGGGCTGAAAATTAATGAAGTTGTTAACATTTCTTAAAATGTCTTTCAGGGCAGTTGAAAGTTGTGGATTTATTACCAATGAGCCTGCTGGTCTCTTCGCTTCATAGACACATGTGGGCTGAGCCCCCACAAACATCCTTAGGGGACATGAGTCTTGGCCTTCAACTTGCTCTGCAATGGATCTCTAGTGAATCTTCAAACCCTGTGCTCCAGGGCTAGCCCCCAGACACATTTTTTGTGCTAGTGGTCTATGTGCCTACAGAATTATTGCTCTGACTTGTGAAGTCTGAGAGAGCAGAAACAAGTCTTATTTATTTTAGTATTTGTATTGCCTCCAGTATCTGGCACTCAACTAGGCACACAGGGGTGGTGGGGGTGGGGCAAGTGAGTCTTTGTAAGTATCAGCTGGACTGAATATAGTAAGAAGATGAAAAGGCTCTGAAATGACCACTGTACTCAGTCAAGGAGTCACATTTTTGCTGTGAATCAACAGCAAAAATGGTGCTGATGCTGGCACCTTCATCCAGCATTTGGGCAATGTCTGGCCAATGGTTTGGGTCTTTTCCTCTGCCAAGAAATCAAGGAAAATCATGAGGAATCTAGGTCACAAGTAGAGCCTGGAAGGGATCTTGGGAATCTGCCAGATCTACTTCTTTTGCCCCAAGGCGTCACGCCAATGCACCCTCATTTTACAGATGAGAAAGGTGAAGCCCTGGGAGAGGAAGTTGGTTTACCAGGGCCAAGCAGTGGGAGGCAGCAGCTTAGTAAGCCCCAGTGGCTTTCTCTTTTTAACTTAAACAACCTTGTTCTGGATGCGCCACAGAGAACAAATGCCCTGTGTCATACAGGAGGTAGACCTGCTTTGTTTGGAGAGTCTGTATTTTATATAAGTTATCATCCTGTAAAGATACTGAATGACTCTGAGAGCAAATTCAAACTATTATCCGAAGACCAGTTGTATCGCAAATCTGGTTACAAAGCTATAAGGATACAAAGGGCCACATTTCAAATATTTATAGACACTTGTTCTTATCACAAGATGGCACTCAATGTCTGGCTTAAATAAAATCAAGAAGTAATTCTTATCTGGAATCTCCTGACAACTACTGATCTTACTCTCCCACTGGGGAGGCTTAGATGTAGCAGGAAACATCCCAGCAGAGTATAATCCTAAACTGCCCTAGGGCATTTATTGTTTTAAGTTTGAAAATGAAAGGTACAGTTAATATGAACCAAGACTAATTGCATTATGGATGAAGGACAGTAGTGAGAGGACTATCTCTGTCAGGTGCACTGTAAATTAAAGTCCAGGTCCAATGGAGAGACTGAGTACCAGGAATAGGTAACTATGGCCAGAAGGGAATCTAGAACTCAGTGCTGTACCAGGTTCATAAATACCTAGCTGAATCAGGCCTGAGGAGTGCGTTCCATCCTTGGAGGCCTTATTCATGCATCGTGCACAAGCCTTTATGAATGCCTTCTGTGTGATGGGATAAAGTGGGAAGCAAACACAGCTGAGTGCCTGTCCTCATGTAGCTCATTCTAGAGTAATTCAAGAGAAGAAAAAAGGTCCACTTGAAAATGAATCTGCTCTCCAAACCTACTCTCTCCTCTGCAGAGACCTGGCTCCTATAAGCTATCAGGATAAGCACGGAGAACAAGGAATCCTACACCATGTATATATAGCTTCCTGAGGGCGTCTAGGACAGGACCTAGCAGGCTGAGTAAGTGGTCCCATGAGAAAAAGTGAAAGTATGAGATGTCTAGTTTTATAGCTAGAGAATTCACTGGTGATCTTATTAAGCCTTTTGCACATGTATAAAAATGGAATGGAATCCAGCCTCCTTACCTCCAAGGTTGTTGTAGAATCAAATGAGCTGAAATAATATTGAGGAACATGTCTGAGTATCTTTAAGGAGCTGCTCAATATAAGGGAGTCACTTGAAACTGAGAGTCCCAGAAGATCTGTGACCCTCACAATAACAATCCTCTCTTGAGAGATCACCATTGTGTGCAAAACTAGTGAGTTAGAACCCTATATCTAGAAAACCACAGTCAAAATGCAAATAAACATTGCATCTCATGATTGGTAAGGGGATGTCAGCAATATTATACACTATAAAGGTGGAGGGGGCATGAGATATGGCAGCCGCAAAGCCCTTGGCTTTCTCTAGGATACAAGAATGCAGCTGCCAGTCTGGAGAGGCCAAGCCTGGTAAAATGGTTTGGCAGAGTTGGGTGCCAGTGGAAGACAAAGAACACAGAAGGACTTCCTCTGTGTGTAAGGGGGCTATGGGTCTCAGAGAGCCATGAATCACAAACAGAAACTCACAGCTTCCTTAATTACAGGATGGTGACTGCACATCACAAATAAATATCAAAAACATACATACCATATCGACTTCGATGAGACAGGAAAGGGAAGGAATCTTTCATTATCCAGGTCAGATTCCAGGCAAAAGACTCGGGAGGAAGAGAAGGCAGGTTTGCTGGTGACTTCAGAGAGCTGTGACCTGGACATAAAAACAAGGATAACACTGAGCCATGTGCTTGGGAAGTGTCTTTCAGCTGTCATTCATATCACTGATGAAAGAATGTTCATAAGGGGTTTTCATGACATCCATTGGAAAATGAGGGGAAAAAGACTGAGCCACTAGTAGATTAAATTGACTTCAGGACCTCAGTGCTCATTGTCTACCAAGGAAAGCCAGATCACAGAAGCCTGAAACCTGTGGCCAAGGCCATTCCAAAGATCTCCAGGAGACAAACTAGAAGACAGGCTACTTAACAGGTTGGTCTAATAGCTCTGCCATAGTCTATTCTGCCTATAACAATTTGTGCAACTTTATAGAGAATTTCAATTCATCTCATCCCAATAATGCCTCCACTCTACTTCACATTCAGACTTACAGCCTCATCTGAATGTATGCTGGGCTTATCGCCTTACCAATGAGAGGGCTGAAGTTGCACTTGGAAGTTATGACTTTTTGACAATTATGTTATTTTCAAAAAAAAAGCTAGGTGATAGGTCTTCCCATAGCCAAGGGCCCAGAGTCACAAAGGATTAATGTTTCTGATTTGCATGAAAGAAAGAAGGGCTGAGAGAAAAGGAGCGAAAGCAGCATTAGTCCTTTGCTTAACAGAACCTCAGGTGGGGCCTGTGTGGTGAGAAGTCATTATAATACATCTACAAATCAAATGAGCACTGTTGTGCGAGTTTACACAGTTCTTCCCAGAAAATCCCCAACTCAGTCACTATTTGCTAATGTTCTATGGCTCTGCAAATCTTTTTGTGTTAAAGAAGGAAGGGTTTGAGAATCAGTTCTGTTTAGTAGATGGTTAAGTAGCAAGATTGAGTGTGGGGAGGAAGGAAGGAAGGGAACTAGGATTTCTTCTGTGGCTTTCATGAGCCAGGCCCCATGAGGGCTCTTAAAACACATAATCTCCCATGGTATCCGCAGTGCTTCTCTCGGTAAGCAAGATCATCCCATTTTATAGATGCAGCACCTGAGGCTCGGAGGATCAAATGATGGAAGCAGAAATCGCCCTGTTATACCTGGCATCAAAAGGTCATGCTCTCCCATTAGTGTGCAGGTCTGCTACTCAGTCAGCCTTAAACCACCTGGAGTGACTTGGTGAAGAGAAAGACGAGGAAGAAGATAAAGAAGAAAAGGAAGCAGCAGAAGCATTTTTCCAGCCTATCTGCTCTGTAGTTTCTGTGACATCACCTCCAGCTGCAGCTCCTCCAGGCTCTCCTCTCCTGACTCCACCCCCTTGTTGTATCAACCTTTCTTCATATGCTGTAAGGAAATAACTGTCCTGGGAGACCATGGCAGCCTTTTGTTTCCAGACCCTTCCATGCTTTTATCCAAGGTGCTGCACTTGGGGAAAGCTGACCCACGTGCCCCTGCAGCTAGAATGGACGGGCATTCTATAGTCTCCTTCCTAAAAGAAAAGAAACATCCCTATCTCAGCCTTCTGACGGTTTGAGTTGAAAGTGCTGGCTCCTGACTCTGCTCCCACACCTGATCTAAAGAGATCAGAATTGAATTGGTTGGTGCCCAGATACACCTTTTGGATAGTATGTCTATAAAATGGCTCAGGAAATGCACTGAGAGGAGTCAGTAGCTAGGCCAGTAAGTTTCGGAAAGAAGCCTTCTTGCGTCACCCTCATATCAACTCTGTTTTATAGATGGGTGATGGGGCTGAAAAGGTGAGGCTTAAAAAAATTTAATGATATGAATTGAGAACATATGGGCCAGGCATTATGTTAAGTGTTTTAAACATGTGATTACATTTGCTTCTTATAACAACCTTGGCAACAATGTGAGGGGTCTGAGGGGCCTGAGAAGACTGACAACCAACAAGGCCTTCCATGTGAGTGTCCTGTAATGGCCCCCATGCAAATAAAAACAGGCATTTTTATGTCTAAGTCATCAGCATAGCTCAAATTTTAGGTAATTTTGAAGCAATAAGAAGATCAAGCCTAAGCAATATTTCCCTGTTTCCAAGGAGGTATTTTTTCTTAGCCATATAGTTTGGGAATGGTATTAACTTCTTCCAGGATGTGAAGTGCCAAACGGCTGGGGCTAGACTTCAGGAAGCACTTATGAATCTAGGAGTAGGCACAGAATGGCAGATGACTTTTCATACGGATGAGGGCCAGGTTATATATTCAGGGATAAAAATAACCTGAAATCATTCGAAAGGAAGGGCTCCAGGGGCTGAGTCATGGCCTGGCAAGGAGCCTTGGACATCACTGTGGGCCATCCCTGAAGACATAAACTTAAAGCATTTTATATTCAAAAAATGCCAATAAGTTGTTGGGCATCTTCAACGATGTACTGGAGAAAAAGTAGACATTTTTATGTTGCCCTTACGGGAACTCCTGGAATTTCTGCCAGCAGTCTGGGCTCATGTGGTGCCCGGGGAGGAGGGTGGAGGGATGTGCTGGAAGAGGCTGGGGTGCCCATGGAGGGGTAAACTGGAAGGACGGGCTTCCTCACCCGAGAAGGTACAGGCCAAGAGGAAAGCAGCCCACATGGATGAAGTTGTTGGCCAAAATCAGAAGCACTGAGCAGAAGTGGATTCTGGTCAAAATTCATAGGATATGTATAAATTTAGAATATAAAGAAGAAAGTACTTCTGGATTTAACAAATGTAGGGAAGGAAAAGGCTCTCTGTCCTTCACATCCCCACCCTGGTGGGAAGTGGGGTTTCTAGCACAGAGGAAAGTGATGTCATGAGCAGCGAGCTATTTAAGCAAAGAGAAGCTTGGCATTTTTGGTGCTTCCTTTTGAAAATGTGAAGATCAGGAGGTTATGGGCCTGACCAGCACAGATACGTGGGGTCAAAGTGTGGATTAAGATCCATTGGCTCAGAAAGGGGGTGTCTCGGACCCTGGAGAAGTTGGTGGGAAGGAAGAGAGAGGGGAAAGTAGGAGCTGGAGCTTCCGGGGGCCCAGGGAAGGCCCACCCGGTGATGGCCAAGACGGCCGAGGTGAGAAAGTAAAGCGACACACTCTGGATTGAGGACATTCTTGATTGGCTACAGTAAGATTGTTTTAGTTTTTTTTTTTTATGCTATCCTGAGCCCTTTTTAGGCACCACAGGTGTCCAGGAAGAGTGAAATCCCCAATCCCTTGCACTACTTTTCTACAGTGCATCCCCTGGGGTCCTCAGCTTAGGTTCCAGGCTCACCCCTGCAGTAATTCTCTTGCAAATGACCACAGCTCCTTCGCCTTTCCTCCTTCATAACTGTCCTGAGCAGCCAAATGTCGTGGTGGAGGAAGAGGGGAGCACAACAGGAGGAGGAATACACCGTGCTGCTGGAAGTCTCACTTTCAGTTCATGACCATGGACCTCAAGAGGACCCCCAGCACTGCCCAGGAATCCTACTGCGTTCCCTGAGAGGCTCAACTCATCCTCCTTCTCTCTAGCACCACTATTTCCAACTTTCTCTCCCAATTTTCCAATTCCCTCCATTCCTCCACATTTTCAGCTAGTGACCTTGTTTCTGATTTCATTGAGAAAAGAGAAGCAAATCTACTAAGAGGTCTCAGTACCTGTATATGCTACCCTCCCTCCTGTTATGACAGATACGCTGTCTATACTTATAAGTAGCAGCTGCCTCTCCACTTAGGGGCTATTCCATCCTTTCTCAAGGAACCTGCTGTTGCAATAGCCTCTCATCCTCCTTTATCAACAACTGCCTCTCCACCAAGTCAACCTCATCTTCAGAAAACAGGTACCATCTTTAAAAATAAAAGAAAAAGTTTCCATGACCCCCACACTCTTCTTCAGCCATTGTCCCATAACTCTGCTCTCCTACAGCTAAATCTCTTAAAAGATTTGTCTATGCTCCTGCCTCCACTTTCTCCTTCCCATTTGTTCTTAAACTCAGTACAATTAAGATTGTCTCCACTATTCAGGTCAAGGTCAATGGTGATCCAAGTTGCAGATACAATGAACAGTCGAGATCCTTATCATACCAGACCTCCCGGTGGCATGTGACCCCACCAGCCCCTTCCTGTATCTTGAATTCCTCACATCTTGGGGGCCAGTGGACCTTAGTTGCCACAGTCCTGGCCTCTGACTTCAGTGGCAGGTCCTCTTTACTCTTCTTTGGCAGAGTCGCCCCATTTTCCAGGCTGTACAAAAGGAACATTCTCCACTTTCCAGCAGCAATTGCCTAGGAGATTTCATGGCTGAATATTGTATTTCATCACAGCGGTTTTAACCAGCTGACAATGATCAATGGCCATGAATTTCAAGTGACCCCAGGATACCAGACCCTTCCTGGAACTCACTAAAGACTCCTGACCAATGAACAAGGGATTTATTTTAACCAAACACATTCAGACTTATGAACTCATTCTCTCCTACCCAGAGCGCTGGTTTTCAATTCGGAATTAGCATGCCACTGTATGCCACTGTATCCTCAGGCTCTATAAACTGACTTTCCTTCCTCAGAGAATGACTCAGTGAATTTCGCTTTGCCTGACATGTAAATAAGCTCAGCTGTTTTTTAAGTCTGGGGTGTGGGGTCTTTGTTTTATCATTTGACAGTTGTTTAAAGTTGGAGAGCTTGGGTCTTTTCTCCATCTAAACTCATTCCCCAGGTGATCTCATCCATTTTCATAGCTTTAAGTACTATTTATATACTAATATTACTACATTTGTATCTCTAGGCACAACTGAACAGCAGAATATGTATCCAACTGCCAGTTTGAAATTTCCAATCTATTGCCTGATGAGTATCTTACAGTTAACACATGCAAAATGAACATTTAATGTCCCTCCACCTAAATCCCGGGGGTTCCCCATTTCAGAGAGTGATCACAAAACTCTCCTGGGTGCTTGGGCCAAAACCAAGGAGGAATCCTGGACTTTCTTTTCCCCAAACCCACATCAAATAAACAAATATTGACAGTTCTACCTGAATTCCGCCTCTTTTCTTCCCTCCCTTGTTACCTCTCCTCCTGACCATGGCTGTAAGTTCCCAGGTGGTCTTC